TGTGGCGCGCATGGTGCGATGGCTGCGGTTGCGACTGAATATGCTTCCTCTTGTGGCCGCCATCTTTGAGCCGATGATCGAGTGCGCCAACCTCGGTGTTCTCTTCTCGCTCTCTCTGAACTACCTCTTTGGCTTCCGCTTCATCCACACCTTCCTTCTGCATCTTGTCGTCTGGATCCTTCTTGACTACATCCTACTGCGACTTGTTCAGGTATGTACATCCCAGTGTGCGAATCTTATGGGCTTACGTCCGAAAGGGGTTTGGACCTGATTGTTTCTTCTTATCTCTCTCTGTGTGTAGTCATTGGAGGCGCTTATGCTCCAGATAATTATTTCCATCACTTAGAGTAGCGTTGTCCGCCGGAAGAAGGCTTTGTTTGTGCAAATGGACAAACTCAAAAGAAGGGGTGTAACGAAAATCGGGCAAACTTGCAGTAGAAATTGGTTCTATTAGTGTCCCCGGCGGTCATTTTTGCGCTTTTCGATTGACCAACCTGTCGCACATAGGGACATGAAATTGCATATCAGTTGGCCTGCTCTTCTCCCTGTCTTGTCTTCCATGTTGAAAGCAAGGAATTTGTAGCCTAACTCTATATCCGCTGTTCCTACGCGTCAGCTCTGGCATGGCCTTGCGAGCCAGGCCGCGAGGCTACTAGATGATAGCGAGAGAGAGATACGCCTTATTTTTTATTTTTCAGCAAAAAATATCCTCCATTCAAAATGTATAAAATTAGGCGCACAAACACATAACACCGAGGAATCAAAAGTAATCCATAATCGCCAAAAGTGGTGGAGATATTTTTGAGAGAGATGAGCTTTATTTTGAAAAATCATTCTAAATTTTTTTGAAAAAACGCCCTCCATTCAAAAGAAATAAAAGTAGACGCAAAAACTCGCCAGTCCGGGAAATCAAAAGTAATTCATAATCGTCAATGACTGCAATTTTTGACATGGTGGATAGATTTCCTTGGAAAAGTCGTCAACTGTAAGGCAAATTGGATTGCTTTGAAAACGGCGCTAGCGTGGTGACCTCGTGCACTCATGACCTAATTGTAGTTCAAATAACAGAGAGGGATAAAAATAGGGTTTATAATGGGCGAGGCGGGCCAACCAACGTATATATAAGAACATTTATATGCTCCTGGTTTTTAATAAATTAGGTCCAGGCCAAATTAGACTCCAGCTTGATAAATGTCATGCTTCGTCATTTTTGCCAATTAATTGTCATAAAAAAGAAATATTTTCATAAGTCTTTCTGTGGCTGTGGAGAAACTTCGCTGTACTTTCTTCTATTCATCATTTCGGTTGGCCTTGAGCTCTTTCCACAATTTTTTCTCGGGCCAGTTTATTTCTATAGAAATGGGGTCGAACAGGGCGTGTTTCATTGGTTGGAGAAATCAATTAAAGTTCGTCTTAAACGCAATCAAAGGGGTCAGGCTTTCTTGTGGGGCCGCCATAAAAGAAATCCCCCCTCCCCTGTCCAAGTGTCTTACTGAATTCGTGATTAAATGGAATTATAGGGGTGAGATAAAAAAGGGGCCGTTTGGACACGGGAAAAATGATCAAATACAAAGAAGAGTCATATTGGCAAACAATTGTTTTCAGTCATTCATCATCAGGCCGGTACAGTGACATGGGGAATTAAAATGCTCAGTTAGTTGCAGCGTCAGGTTGGAGGGGGGATGCTTAATTACAGAGGAACTTTTGAACCTTGCGATTTGATGCCATAATCGAAGATTGTGCAAGAGACGTAAATCCAACCAAGGTCAAACGAAGTACCAGTTAGTGCTCAGTTCCTAGGAGTTTGCAGGCGTTCGCCTTCTTTCGTAAATTTAATAGTTAGTTATTTGTCACGAATAACGGGA